GCTCCCGGTGTCAGGCACGTAAAACAACAAAGTACCGCTCATCCATTTTATGACTGTAGTTAATATTTAATTAATGCGTGTTAAGTTTAAATGTTTTAAATGCTAAAATATGCGTATTGATATCAAGGCCGAAGTTAACTTTTTTGACAGGGGATGGGGGGGGGGGGGGGGGCAAATATTTGTACAAGTATCACTTGTCCCCACTTGTTCAAATAAAACTGTTTTCTATAAAAAAATATCCCCCACCCCCCTCCCCGGCTGGCTACGGCACTGGATATCAATGTTTACTCCTGGTGAATTAGTTCCGGCTAAACTGAAAACAGTATTTCAGTTTTAATTTTACAGCATACCGCTACATAAATTTTAGTGCATACCGCCAACGACATGTCAAGATCCTACAATGTCATCAACATCTTTTCCGAGCTGTCGGATTAGGTACAGAACACAACTGATATATGTAGAAACATCCATGAAATAATCCTTCCAGGTTTGAAATTTTATTGTTTTAATTTACACAGCTTGCCTTAAACATTTGGTTGTGTACATCTTCACACAGTAGGGTTGTTTTGATTCTTCTACTTTCCTCAATATACTTGCCACAGATGTAAAAAAAAAGAAAAGAAGATGACCCGATTATCATTTCAAAGTAATCCTTTATCTTCTAACCTGTGATGTTATTTCCCATGTGTGTGTGTGTCTGTTTGTACTAGACCGGACTAATGCCGATTATATAGTGTTAACCCACTGATATACCATGCCTCGAGCCGACTAGTCTTTGTTTTATCCTCTTAACGCCGAGCGCGAGGCGGAGTAACAACAAGTACCATGTTTAGCGTACTGTGGTATGAAGCGGCCGGGAATCGAACAACAAATCCGCTCTCCAGTTAGGGCTCCATCCACTAGACCACGAATCCGCTCTCCAGGTGGCGCTCCAACCACTGGACCACGGTTACGGCCCTGCAAGACATCGCCTACAGTTATACACTACACTGAAGGTCACGCCGACAGATTATGCTGACAACCAACATCATGAATCATGTTTTTACAAGGGATAAGGCATTGCTTAAGTAGATATGTTTTTTATTTGTTTCACACATGTAGTGGAATATACTTGTTGAAATTTGTTAAAATTAAACACGAAGGAGAGATGATGGACATTAAGGTGAGGTGAAATGGGGTTTAACGTCGCGTCCAAGTTTATTGAACTTATATAGCAACGCGCATGCAATTGCGCGCGTGTGTGTGTGGCTGCCGTGCTACTCCGGACTGATGCCGATTTAAAGTGCCAGCTCACTGAGATACCATGCCGCAGTTTAACATGAATACCCCACTCAGACCCTGACTCCGAGCCGACCAGTCCTTGTTTTAGCCCCTTAATGCCGAGCGCCAGACAGGGTAACAACAAGTACCATCTTTTAACGTCTTTTGGTATGACGCGGCCGGCGATCGAACCCGGGACCTTCCGCTCTCCGGGCGGACGCTCTACCACTAGACCACAGAGGCGGTCTGGATATTTAGGGGTGGGGCCTGGAATAAGTTTTAACAAACAATTTGTTCCAGAAAATGCTAAAACCAATATTTTGCCGAAAGTTCATGTTCACGGATGTCCTGAAAACAACTGCTTTGCTAAAAAATAGTCGGCTCCTCATTTCGGAGTCCAGAAATGGTCCTCTTGAAACAATTAGGCCGTCTCTAACAGAAGACACCACCCCAAGGGGGATGAATGGTCGTTCCCTGTGCAGATTCCAGAAGTTGTTTGTTTGTTTGTTTGCTTACGTTGTTTGTTTACAAGAACATTTCACTAAATAAGGGTTAAAGCATGAGTATCACCCATGAAGATCGATATCCGGGTTAGAATTTGTTACCAATAACCGACGCTTGTCAGAAGGGATAGGGGGGTCAGGCTCGGTGACTCGGTTGAGTGCGTGTCATCGCAGCTAGGGGCGTGTCTCGGTGCTCACAACACAGATTACTGAGTTGTCGGGTCCAGACTCGACTATTTACAATCCGCCCTCGTGGTCTAGTGAATAGAGCGTATGTGAGTCGAGGCCCCGTCAGCGTCATTCCAAATGACGTTTAATGATGGTACTTGTTGTTACCCTGTGCTCGGGATAAACAAAGCAATTGCATGGTACCAGTCAGGATTAACGCTGGTCTTACATTGCTTAACCACTGAGACACCATGCAACAGCTTTACATGGATACCTCATGATCAGTCTGACACATGTTATTGTTTCCGAGCCGACAAGTCCATGTTATATCCCCTTAATGCTGAGCGCCAGGCAGGGTAACAACAAGTTCCATAGTTAAGGGTCTTTTGGTATCTTTGTTTGTTTGTTTGTTTGTTGTTTAACGCCGCACCGAGCAATATTCAGCTATATGACGGCGGTCTGTAAATAGTCTTGACCAGACAATCCATTGATTAACATCATAAGCACGAACCACGCAATTGGGATTCGAAGCATAGTCGCCATTTACGACAAGCATGTGTTGCTGAAGACCTATTCTACTCCGGGTCTTCATGGGTCTATTTTGGTATGACGCAGCCGGGTTCGAACCTCTAATTTCTCGCTCTACGGGCAGATTCAAGAGGAGTCGACAGTTTAGGGAGTTGATAATTTTGTGTTTTGATATTTGCTTCGTTCACAGATGGCGCCCCCGGCAAAAGTATATCTGCAATATATCCCCGTGGCGGCCACAGCGGTGTTTACGGCGCTGGTATACTACTTCATCGACTACATACTCTGGTGCATAGTGACAGGCTGCGTTCTCTACGCTGCGGGGGTGTATTTCTTCAAATCCGAGGCTCCAAGTCAAATCGATCCTACGGGAAAGGCCATTCTCATCACCGGATGCAGGTCAGATAATATCATAAGAATAATATATTCATGCACGGAAACCATCACACTCATTTTGGGCATTGCGCGAATGTGATCTCCCACTGGTATAAACACAATATTTCACAAAAAGTGCAGAATCTGTCTGGCAAAAAAAAGTATACAATTAAGAAATTGGACTTGACCAAATAGTTACAAACGCTATCAAAACGTTGTTGTTTTTTGTTGTTTAACGCCGCACTCAACAATATTCCAGCTACATGACGGCGGTCTGTAAATAATCGAGTCTGGACCAGACAATCCAGTGATGAGCTTCGATCCACGCAATTGGGTGAGTGAGTGAGTATGGTTTAACGCCGCTTTTAGCAATATTCCAGCAATATCACGGCGGGGGACACCAGAAATGGGCTTCATACATTGTATCAATGTGGGGAATCGAACCCGGGTCGCGTGACGAGCGAACGCTTTAACCACTAGGCTACCCGACCGCCCCGCACGCAATTTGGATACGATGACATGCATCAACCAAGTCAGCGAGCCTGACCACTCGATCCCGTTAGTCGCCTCTTATGACAAGCACAGTCGCTTTTTACGGCAAGCATGTGTTCCTGAAGACCTATTCTAACCTGGATCTTTACGGGGCGCTATCAAAACGTCACTAGGCTGAAAAAGTCGCCGAAGCACACGGTACAAAAAAACAACTGTGCAACCCGTATCAAATACATCACCATCGAATAACCATGTGTTGTTGGTTTCATTTTAGCCACGATCAAACATGGCTGTACACTTTAATTTGCCAGGAAATTTTTACAAATCTATATTTCTAAATGTATTGTTCCATCGCTGTACTTATTTAAGAATAATAATCCAATAAACACAATAATTATTGCTTTGCAAAGAACTCTATATTATCTTAAAACAAAACATAACACGAAAACCGTCCACCAACTCCAGTTCCACGAGGTATTAACAAAAAATGTTTACACTTTTGTATTATCCAACGCACCGTAGGATACTGAGTGAATTAATGAATGAGTATGCTTTTACGCCGCTTTTAGCAATATTCTAGGAATATCAAGGCGGGGGACACCAGAAATGGGCTTCACACATACAATGTACCCCTCTCGGGAATGGAACCCGGGTCTTCGGCGTGACAAGCGAACGCTTTAACCACTAGGCTACCCGACCGCCCCGTAGGATACTGAAATAAATACGTGTCAAGCTGTCGTTCAAACTATAGGTACACATCAATGCCAGATCGAAAACCACACTGATAGGCATTACGTGTCCATGATATTTGCTCAAGGATTTTTTCAGTATCATTTTAGTAGATGCTGTTTGATATTTTAGATTGTCCGGATTAACAAATGTCCGAATAAACTAGTGTCCGTCTTCGTATACTAATAATATAAATTCCCAGCTGTTACATCTTTATAGGGACAGACAATCCACTTTGCAGAGTTGCGTCCCCTGATGAAGGGTTCGACTCCAAGATTACCTGATTGTTTCTAGGTTTGTCAGCACCAAGGTGATAAGCGCCCGCATCACTTCGACCTTTCCTCCATCATCAAGATGACTCCCAGTGATATGACTGTAATACTGTTCAAAGCAGCGTTAGACCTTACTCATCCTGGAACTGATTTCAGAATGAGCAACACATTGTTTTTGTATTCCTAGATCAGTATCTACTGCTGTATATGATAGGTACGAAAGCCTATTGGGGTCAAAATGGAAATATGGAAAAGGCAGGAACAGGAATTCGTTATAACCGTAAAAAGATTCGATATAACGAAATAAGTTCCGTAATAACGAATCTTATTCCGTCATAACGAATTTATTTTCGTAATAACGAATTTTTTTTCCGTTGTAACGAAATTATTTCCTTGCTAAAGAATCTTTTTTTCCGTCATAACGAATTTCTTTTCGTGTGTCTTTTCCATATTACACTTCTGACCCCAATAGGCTTTCGTAGATAGGCAACGTTGCAGCCGTGTTCGTGGTACAAGTCTAAGTTCTGCATCACTTCATCGCTTTCTCCCGAACTGACACGCTGACAAATACTGTTCAAAGAGGCATAACCAGCCAATTCATCCTGCACTCACTTTACTGGTAATGTTGTCTTGTTTTGTCTGAGAGGGCTGGGACATGAGCTGGCGACCAGAGCACACAAACTCGGCTTTCACGCTGTCTGAACGACAACACGGAGGGTCCCCGGGCCCTACAGGCCACCTTTGAGGAGAGGATGCACGTCCTGAAGATGGACGTCACAAAGGATGGCGAGGTGACGGAGGCACTCAAGTATGTCCAGGACAGATGCAGAAGCACGGGTGGGAATACTTGCTGTTGTGTTTGTTTGTTTGTTTGTTTGTTTGTTTCTTTGCTTGTTGTCGATGTCCCGTCAGCATCATTCCAAATAACGTTAAATGATGGTACTTGTTGTTACCCTGGGCTCAGTCAGGATTAACGCTGGTCTTATAGTGCTTGACCACTGAGATACCACGCCACAGTTGAAAATGGGTACCTCATGATCACTCTGACACAGTATACTGACCCCGAGCCAACCAGTCCTGGCTTTATCCCCTTAATGCCGAGCGCCAGGCAGGGTACCAACAAGTACCATAGTCCAGTCCTGTGCCCTGTTCCACAAAGTGCTCTTAAACCTATGACTACCGTAGGCCTGTGTTAAAGTATGGGAGTTACGATCATCTTAGCGCTAAGATCGCTTTGTGGAACAGGGCCCTCGTTTTATCACCTTAATGCTGAGCACCAGGCAGGGTAACAACAAGTACCATAGTTTAGCGTCTTTCGGTATCTTTGTTTGTTCGTTGCTGTTTAACGCCGCACTCAGCAATATTCCAGCTATATGACGGCGGTCTGTAAATAATCGAGTGTGGACCAGACAGTCCAGGGATTGACAACGTGAGCCTGACCACCCGATCCCGTTAGCAACCTCTTTCGACAAGCATAGTCGCCGTTTACGGCAAGCATGGGTTGCTGAAGACCTATTCTACCCCGGATCTCCAGGCCACTTGCCTTTGCACATTTTTGTTTGTTGGGACTGACGCGCTACCTACTGCGCTAACGAGGCCGCTTGTACTACTGATCAAAATAAAGAATCTCTCAAACGCGAATGAGACGCGAAGATCTTGGCAACAACAATGTATCAGCTATAAGCAGCGAACGTCCCACGATCGCGACAGTAACGCGAAATCTTCGCGTCCCATTCGCGATCAAGAGAATATTATTATTATTATAATTATTATTATTATTATTAAGATAAGTTGTGGACATTAGGAAATAGTTGTACGAAAAATTTGTTTGCAAATATTTTTGTTAAGTTAAGTTTGTGTTTCTGTAAAAAGCACGATGTGATATCATCGCTGTGAGATTAACATTAATTAGTATCCTGTAAATCCCAACGCGTCGCCAAATCAATAAAAGTCATTTTGGAGACATAAATGCGAAGTTTCATTTATGCGAACAAGGACCTCTCGCATTTTTCGCATTTAATTCACGCTCGCGTTAATATTCAAAACTATTACAACGATATCCCCAGGAGAACGCGTGCAACTATAACAAAAATGGGCCACGATTGAGAAAACGTCAGGTAAATACGAGAAAATAAAGTACTTGACATGTCCAATTTTTACAAAAATCATCGATTCCCGTTTCTAAACATATAAGCAGCCTTTAACCTTAAATGAACAGTTGACTCCCCCGAAGTGGTGTACCAATAGATCTACCGTCTGTGTTGCAGGTTTGTGGGCTGTTGTGAACAACGCCGGTATTGACGGCGGGGGTCCGGTGGAGCTGTGCAGCATGAAGTTCTACAAGGAAGTGTGCGAGGTCAACCTGTTCGGGGCTATCAGAGTGTCTAAAGCGTTCCTGCCGCTAGTGAGGCAGGCTAAAGGTGAGGAAAACAATAGCTACAGCGTGGTCAGACTCCCTGACCCCACGGCGGAGAAGATGCTAATTCTAATGACCGCCGGGATGAACCGGTCGCCGCAATCTCATTGAAATCAGATCTTAGTTCTCGCTGCCGCTAAACAAAGATCTGAGGACATCCCATTACGGGTCACGTCAGACCGACCTTTGGCAAACTCTGACCGACCAATGGAATTACAGACAAGAAGTAGACATTAGCCAATCAGAAGGCAGCTTTATCGTGCTTTACGGCACTAATTTCAAATTGGCGACTACGCTTCGTCACATATGTTGACAAATTCTCGCTTAAAAAATTGAAACCTGAACAAAGAACGTTCTAGAATGGCTAATATTTGATCTAGATTGTATAGATTCAGTCGTTAAGCCCGTAACTATCGTTCGGAATACACCGTTTTAACGTTTTCGAGGCTGCATGATTAGAAATCACATTCCGACTGTCACTTTTATGATCTGGTAAGCGACGCCCTGATTGGTCGAATGAAAGGTCGTTCTGACGTGACCCCTAAAAGGATGTCCTCAGATCTTTGTTGAGCGGTAGCGAGAACTAAGATCTGATTTTAATGAGATTGCGGTCGCCGTTATTTAGTTTAACTGCTGAATGCGGCGTAAAAAAAATCGAACGCTTACTTCCTCATCACTCCCTCCATTCCTCCGGTCTGTCGTTCTTCCGTCACTCACTCACTTATTCAACCCTTATAATTCCGGGAGAGTATATAGGTCCCTACAACGCCAGGCTTGTAATCAGAGGCGACCATGTGGATCGGGTGGTCCGGCTCGGACTGGTTGACCGATGTCATTGTACCCCTTGTGAAGCAATGCTCATGATGTCAAACGACCCGTGAAGATTCCGGGGTAGAATAGGTCTTCAACAACCCATGCTTGCCGTAAAAGGCGACTATGCTTGTCGACTATGCTTGTCGTAAAAGGCGACTAACGGGATCGGGTGGTCAGGCTCGCTGACTTGGTTGATGCATGTCATCGATCCCAATTGCGTGGATCGATGCTCATGATATTAATCACTGGATTGTCTGGTCCAGGCTCGATTATTTACAGACCGCCGTCATATAGCTGGAATATTGCTGAGTGCGGCGTTAAACAACAAACCAACCAACCAACCATAGCAAATGAACACGTTGGTTAACGGATGCAAAGAATGTTCCATTAATGGCGAAAATTAATGAACTTTAGAATAAACTAAACACCTCATTCTTGCCGCCATCTCGAATGCCACTGCTCTTCAAACCGGATATATGTGAATTTGAAATAAGGAACTCTAAATGAAAAATGAGTTGTTTGAGTTTTTCATGTAGATATGTTCTACCGTTCATGGTAGGCACTAGGATTGATGGGATTCTGAAACCACGTTATTTGACATTGAGACCAAAATTCCTCGTTGCAAACATATCTTAACATGTATATTTCATTGAGAATACAAGAACGGCTGTCATCCCGGTTCTGACAGGTTATATATGTATGTACAACTAATGTCTCCCCTTCCATAGTGATATTACTAATTCCGTTCTACCTTTTTTTCACATACGGGGCGGTGGGGTAGCCTAGAGGTTAAAGCGTTCGCCCATTTCTGGTGTCCCCCGCCGTGATGTTGCTGGAATATTGCTAAAAGCGGCGTAAAACCATACTCGCTCGCTCGTTCAATCATATACATGATGCATGCAAGTATATTCCAAAGAAGTTTACCCAAATATTAATTTGTTTTGCGTACCCATGTCAACTTCAAATATTACTTTATTACAAAATATTGCATTGTACATACATCATGCATTGTTAGTTAGAAGAAACACCCATACCTTGTAAATACGTTGAACTATGGGCCTATGGCCGGCCTTTCAGTTTGCAATGAATAAAACAATTTGGCATTCAGGGGACGTGTCATTCAGGGAGCAGATGTTTAATGTCGAAAAAAACCTTCAGAAGCTTTGAGCAGTTATTTATTGACTTGAACTTTAAACATGAGGATTGATGTCGTTGCAGCTAAAACTAAAACACCCTCATCCCCATCCAAAGCTTCAGGAACAAGATCTGTATCCAACTTTCTTTAATTTTATTGACAATAGTATTGTGTGTGTAGTTATTTTTTATTATCAGTTTTACAGAAACCCATATGTTTTTGTATTTCTGACATGCGCATTTGTCGCTATTGCAGAATGAGAATACACATCAGATGCCGTCAGTGATGTTGCAGTAATCATATCTCTGTCAGAACTGAGTTATGAGAATACATCTGCATTTCTACAGAGCCAAAACATGAACGCTTGATTAATCTATAGTGAGTGAGTGAGTTGGGTTTAACGCCGCGTTTAACAGTATTCCAGTTATATCACGGCGTGTCAGCTTAATTAGGGAGGAAAGCCCGAAGTGATTCAGGTCTTAGACGGTTACCACTTCGGTGAAACCCACGAGCACGGGTATGGTGCTGAAAAACCTTGAAACATAATCGGGGCGAACCGGGATTCGAACCCACAATCATAGGTTTCTGGCGTGCCCAAGGGACGCAACTCTGCACAGCGAATCGCTGCGCTTTAGACGACTTGGCCACCCGTGCCCCCGATTAATCTATAGAGGGAGTTTATTACAGATATCATATATCATATATATGTGATGAGTGTGTTGTGAAGGTATTGGTAGTGAGTCATACTTCACACAAAGACTTCACGGAGTTTCAGTGTGGAAACATAATTATACTTGGCTTTGTACTATGACAGTCTAATGAAATGAACTGTACGTTTACCATGGTATTCGTTTGTATATTATATATTTCATATTTCTCTTGAAATAAATGTATAGAACCTGTTTGGTTCGAATACCAGTTGACGTTTTGTTGTCATGGACTCTTTACATACATAGTGCATTTGTACGAAGCATTTCACGCGTTACGGGGAAATAATCGAGTTTCTCTTTGTACAAAAAATTACTACACACCCATGGCTTGTTTTTCAGTAAAGGATAGGAGCAGGGATTATTAAACCAGAACAAATAACAAATTACATAGAGAATCTCACCCTCGTGTTTTTTTATATCAAATATATCAACACAAGTTGATAAAAGTGGAAAAAGGTTTTTCCACTTTTATCAACTCGTGTTGATATAAACTGACATCCAAAAGAAACGTTACCAACTGAAAATATAAATTTCAGATGAATTGTTCGATGAAGTCTATCTAAAACACACAACCTAAATACAACAATAGTGTATGCAGAAGATGTTAATCGTCTGTAACATGTTTGCGAGATAACAAGCGAAAAAAGGCAAAAACACGTGCACCACGGACAACTGCAAATGCACGTGCGGGTAAGGGTATAAAACGATTGCCACGCAAGTCAGACATTCACAGTGATAAAAAAACACCAAAGAAGACCACGACTCACAGTCGAACAACATGAACGAGCCTTGGGTATGGTACAGACGGGAGCCACCCACGCCCATATTGCACCAACCTTCGGTTGCTCCCGTGTTGCCGTTACCAACTTGATGCAACGTTACAGACAGACAGGGCGTACCGCTGACAGGCCAAGAACAGGCAGAACAAGGGTGACCACGCCCCATGATAATCGGTACTTGCGTACCTTGCACCTCCTCTTGCACGTGATCGGAGACAAATGCCTTAGGTCACAGGGTTAGTCGACAGACAGTGGCCAGGAGACTCATGGCTCATGGAATCAGGGCTTTTAGACCATACAGAGGACAGCTATTGACAGCGCAACATCGTCGCCTGCGATTGAGATGGGCCCGGACTGTACGACGTTGGCAACGACTTGACTGGCAGAGGGTTGTCTTCACTGACGAAAGTCGATTCTGTATGTTTAGGGCTGATGGAAGACAACGTGTTTACCGCCGAAGGGGTGAAGGAACGGCGGCGTGTTGCGTGCAGGAGGTCGTACCATATGGTGGAGGGAGTGTCATGGTGTGGGGAGGGATCTGTGGGCAGGAGAGGACACCGCTGGTCTTGGTTGACGGAAACTTGACAGCTCAGCATTACATGGATAACATTCTTCGTCCAGTTGTCCTACCATTTCTCCAACAGCAGCCACGTGGTGTCATTTACCAGCATGACAACGCTAGAGCCCATACAGCCAGAATTGTCTCTAACTTCCTCGCAGCCAACAACGTCAACGTCCTGCCGTGGCCTGCACCCTCACCCGACATGTCCCCCAAAGAGCACCTCTGGGACTTGATGGATCGTCGTGTTCGACAACGACCACACTCTCCAGCCAACCGGCAAGAACTGACCTTGGCCCTCCAAGAAGAATAGCGTCAAATCCCACGTGACCTCATCAGACGACTGCCTTTTTCTGTGCGTCGAAGAGTTTTTGCGTGTATTGAGGCATTTGGTGATTCTGAAAGCTCGAGTTTTGTACCACACCCAACTTTGGGGGATCTGACGTCATTCTCGGTCGCGGTATGATTGTCATGTTCAGTGTTGATTATGTTGATATATTGATCTTCTCAATACACTTTACTTCATGCATGTATGTTTTGTTGTTTTTGAGCAAGAGTGATTTCAAACTCTAGTCAAGTTTCTTTTGGACGTCAGTTTATTTGATATCAAAAGACACAAGGGTAAAATTTTTGTTTATCATCCAACATCATTCTTCCAACTCTTTCAGTTTGTAGACTGTAATAAGCAGTGTCTTAAATGTAGAAAGTACTGCTAACAGCTTCAACAGCAGAGCCATTAGTGATTTCATTTGATTGTGACGCCATGGTAACCAATGACGTCACAATGGTCTGCAAAGAATTGTGATGCAATTTCCCTGCAGCGATATCTACAGTGTAGATATAGAGATTACTACATGAGTGTCTGACAGATACCATTGATCTTACAACGAGTTGTTTCAAAACGTATCTAACGAGCATGATGCCGGGTTAAAAAAATTCACCTCAAAGAAATTACCAAATATGTACATGTACAACAATGTTTATTCCAATATTCCAGCTATTTGACGGCGATCTGTAAATAATTGAGTCTGGATCAGAGAATCCAGTGATTGACAATCCACGCAATCGGGATCGATGACATGCATCAACCAAGTCAGCGAGCCTGACCACCCGAT